ATCTAATGCTCTTAAATTAGTAGATAATGTTTAAATTCCTAAAAAATCTTCCTTCCATAGGGAGGAAAATTAGCCTTTGCATAAGTGTTTAAAATGTAATTGTTATTTCTATAATCTACCAATGAGTCTAAAGATAAATATTGCAGAAATTTCACTCTTGCAATAACTAACAAATGCAACAGGGAAATAATTAGCCAAAAAGTTTCCATCTCAGTAAGCTGTAATATATGGTTCACCTACAAATAATATTATTCTAATAAAATAATATAAGAATCTTATAATAAATATACTAGGCACTGCTGCTTCAAGAATAATCGTTGTGTCATCTTAAACGACCGGCTGAGAATGCAGCCAATCAATACCCTAACCTGGCTTCTACATCTAAATCCTCTTGCAACCACAGGTATAGAAAATTTGTAAATGTTATTGGGGACAAGATGCTTCCAATGGAAATTCCTCTTGTGATGGAAAGTTGCCATCAGGAAAGGAAAAGCTTACTCCTCTGTAGCAGCAGATTGTGGAGCTCATGAAGAAATTTCTAGACACTCTTCTCATTGTTGAGGTGGGATACAAAGTTTCAATGTTTTGGAGAGGATGTGGCAGAATATTGGAATGCTAGCAGTGAGAAAGCTATGGCTATGATAAGCAAATTCTAAGAAAATTGGCTGCTTTCTCATTCCGGTTGCGTGCATGGGAAGGCTTGTGGAAGTTGGCTACAAAGTTGGCATACCAAGACACAAGGCTGGCCCATTCTCTCTATATACCAAAGCCATGCTTGAGGCTAAGGAGTTTATGTGAGGAGAAGAGGGTAGTGAAAGAGATGGACCAATTTGTCTTAGCAGTTGGATGTTAAATTTGGGGTGGTGGTTGTGGTGGCTATAAGCAATATATGTTATTGCATATATATAATTTCTGGAGGATTAGTTTGTTGAATGTTTTGCCAAACTTTATAAATGTGTAGTTTAACTTACCAAAACACTTAATATAGTCCCTTTCACTGAATAAAGAGCCCCTTAAACAAACCATATATTGTAACATTGGGAAAATGGATTAACACCAAATCATCCACTTTGTACTCCATTGATGGACTATGATGGAAGTTATTATGTTGTTATTATCCCACTTCTACACAACCTAAGTGCTTAATAAACTCTACTCGAATGAGTGGAAGAATGCTCATCAAATATTGATCCCAAAACTTAATATTGGCAGTTTATAGCAATCACGAAAGTAAACTCAATTCTATTAACCATATCGAATAATGACCATATAAAAGTTTATAAAGTGAAGCACCAATGGAACTTTATACCCTATGATATACGTATACCAAAGAAATGGCAAATATCCATCCCAATCTAAATGCTGAAAGTTCATGTGTTTTGCAATCATTCCTTTAAATGTTAAAACAAACCATTCCTAGAAACTTGGGCAAAAGTCTGTATGCTAAAAGCTTGTACTAGAAAAGAAAGAAAGAGGAAAAGAAAATAAGAATGAAAAATAAAAAAAGGTAAGAGTAAAGTGGATGCTTACTACTACACTTGTTTGACTTAATTTTGCATTTTACTTCAGCTAGACACAAATAAATATATAAAAAGTAAAAAAGGAATTACTTGAGTCTTTCAATCCCTAGAAAGGCTTTTGTCGAAGTCATGAGCAAAAATAAGCTTAGCATCACTTAAGTATTCTAGATTTTGAGCAAATGGACATGCATTGATGATGGAAGGCTAAAGTACAAAAGAAAGGGATAAAGTTTGAATGTTAACTCACCTCCTTAATTAATTTTACATGGGGCAACTTGTTCTTCAGTCTTAAGATTTAAATTTCAAGACTTAGGATGATGTTTCTAAATATAAGGTTGATTTTCTATGCTCCACTTTCTCCCACAATTGAGTTGAGTTTCATCTTGAAGCTCTCACTTCTTCATGGCATTGGGCTGTTGTATTGCTGCTGAGAGCTCATTCTTGAACTTGTTCTTCTATTGTAGCGCACCCTATCCCTACAGCTGCTTCACCTTGAGCTGTCAGATCTCATTGCGAAGCTCTGCATTCTCCTTGGGGAGTTCCTTATTCATGCGCTAAGTCTTTGTGCATACAGATTCCTTGAATGCTCCTCTTGAGCTGGAGAATATGGTTCTGGATCTGGATCTTCATGACCTTCACATCTAGGGGCTGGTAGACAAAGGTGTTGATTGGACTCTGTCTCGCATGAAAATGCTCATCTGCTTGTCGTCGAAAAGCCTTGAAAAATCTGCTGATATCTGCATCTATGGTGTTGACTGGAGACACTGCATTTTGTCCACAAACTGGAGAAATGCCAAGCTTAAGATCCACAGGCTTGCAGCGTCACTCCTGCTCGGGATGCTCTCAATTGTGGTGTTTGCGGTGATGCGGCATGTTGTCGGTGTCGGCATCGAGAGCTGGTTGTGTTAGTGTTGCTGTGTGCGGTGGAGATGCTGGAGACTGCTCCTGCTGGGTCATGTTCACGTTACACTGGTTTGATGACTGTCAGTTTGGAACCTGCAAGGTGGTTACATGTTCAGGATCTTGTTCCTGAGTCTTCTCCTGAATTTCCTCACCTTGAGCTTTGTGATCTTTGTTGTTGGTTGTTCCCTTGACAGCTTTTGTGCTCTTGCGTGTAAACGTTGCTCTGTGTCCGCATCTATCACATACAGGAGAGCTTTCTTAGCCTTTATAAGGAACTCTGACGACGCTTTTGGTATTGGTTTTCCTCCCTGCCAAATGCCACAGACTTGACTCCTGCCATAGGGCCAACGATTGCGATAAACTTCTGCTTGTATGACACTCTCTACAACTACTGGAACGCTCAAAGTTGGATTTTTTTGTGGTTTCCGAGTGTGAGAAATTTTTGGAAAAGCTTTACAGGCACAGAGCACCATCGCATTGGTAAACACAGTTTTGACAAGCTTAGGCCTCCTGGCGTTGCATGTTTACTTTCAAGCCCGAGTAGGATGGTGACGAGCTTGATCTCCGGTGGAGTAGCAGGAATCGCTGCCTCAACAGGTAAGAGTCTTAAGAGCGATTACGCTTGATCGCCATAGTTCCTGTTTTCAGTCGACTTAACTCGAGGGCGACCAGGGCGATTTTTCCTAAGGTTTTCCACCCCGATTCATTTCCAACCGTCAGATATTCTTGAATCGACGGCCTTGGTTGAATTTCCATGTTGCTAGCAAATGTTTAGGGTTCTTGCGATGGATGAGACTTGGCGACGGCAGCGATTCGATGCGCCGCACCAGCATTCGCTCCTTCGGCAGCGTCGCCGCGGGCGCCCAAGGTCACAAGGGATTTGCGCTAGGGCAATTTGCGCCTGGGCGATCCACGCCCAGGCGGCGGAGAGCAAGCAGCTGGGGAGACATGTACGCGAAATGCGGCAGCATGGAGGATTCCCGCCGCGTGTTCGACAGCATTCTTCACCCAAGCGTGATGTCCTTGATGCTGGGCTACGTCTCCAATGGCGAGAGCGATGTGGCTCTGGATCTCTTCGAGAGGATGCAAGCCAAACTCCAGGACGCGGCAAAGGCTTGTAGCAGCCTCGCGGCGAAGGAAGACGCTGTTTTGGTCGATGGGAAGCTCGTCAAGGAGGCTAGTCTCGAGACCGGCAGAGGCATCCATTCTCAAGCCAAGCAGATGGGACCGTCTTGCAGCGAAGACGTTTTCCTCTCGAGCTAAGTGCGCCATCATGCGGCATCATGCTTCATCATTTTTCTAAAACATTAAACATAAATATTATTATAATATAGTATTTAAGATATTTTAAATTACTTTAAAAAGTTTCAGTTTAAAATTTTGTTATAAATTTTTTAAATAAAATCAGACTAACAAAACTTTGTATTAAACTTTTATTATATATAACAGTTACTTGCTGGATGTTTATAAGATATATATAATCATTTTCATTCAAAATAGATCAATAAATATATTATAAATTTTGGAGGTAGGATGAAATTGATCCCAATAAATATAATTTATTGGATTTAAATAAAATGAAGTTAAGGGTAAACATTCTGTCACTAAAGTTTTTTTACTTGGTCCTATAAAGTTGTAACATTCAACATTAAGATTTGTGAAGCTTGTTACAATTTTCCATAATTAAAATGTATCAATAAGTACTTTCACTTTAATACAAATTTATTATATGATAGAGGATTTTGAACAATATCAAATAGTATAGTGTAAAAGTCTGCATAGAAAATGTTGAGTGATGGTAAATTTAATCTAAGATAAAATTAAATTAAATTAAACTTGCAGTTAAACTGTATTGCTATTTTGTTAGGTTGGTTAATGGTGTTTGATAAAAAAGAGTGTACTACAACCTAACAGAAATAACTATGCAATCACAATTTTGGATGCTCCTTTTTGATACAAGACTTATAACATAAATAAAGAGGTCATAAAATAATTTAAAGCTATGAATTATATTTATTTGAATGTGAGTAAGCTTTAAATTATTTTACGAATGTGAGTATCATAAAGTTGCATCAAAATATCAAGAAACTCTAAGATTATGTATTGATTTGGCAAAAAAAAACTAGGTTCATAGTAATTATTAATTATATCATTAAATCCATATGTTATGTAAAATATAGATTTATTTATAATGTTTAGTGTTGCATTTAGACTAATTTGAGATATGAATATATATTTATCTTCAATGAAATTTTTCTCTTGTAGATAGATATGTCATAGATAATTTTGGATTGGAAAGATTCTCTTGACAAAAAATAAAAAATTAAAGGAATTATCTTTAGACAAACTTAGAAATGTATTTTCAATAGTATTGAACAATCCACATCCAACACTTCCATAATTTATACCTTGCTATATATTCTTTGTGGGTGACAAAAATGGTTGAATTAATTAAAGATTTAAATATGAAGTTGCAAATGAACAAATTTAAACACTTTATTCATATCAAAAATGAGATTTCTATTTAAAAATCTCCCTATTGCTCCACTAAGGAATTCTCTTTCACATGGAGGAAAATTAACCTTTGTATAAGTGTTTAAGATCGTTGCTGGAAAGCGACAGAAGGAGCAGGTGGCTCAAATTCCTGAAGCTGTCAGGGAGATTTCCAGAGAACTTGTTCTGGTTCAGCGAGAGACCGACGAGCTCGGTGCAGTTGGAGAGTCCAGAAGGGAGCTCCCCGCCGATGTCGTTGCTGCTGAGAACTAGCTGCTGGAGATGCGAGAGCTTCGAGAGCTCGCCTGGGATTGTTCCAGTCAAGTCATTGCTGTCGAGCCATATCTCCCTGATGTTCGACCAGTTTCCAAGCTCCGGAGGTATGTCGCCACTTAAACGATTCCCCATGAGAAACAGCAGCTGGAGATGCGAGAGCTTCGAGAGCTCGCCTGGGATGGTGCCACTAAAACGATTCCCCGTGAGAACCAGGATCTTCAAGTTCCTCAAGCCTCCCAGCGTAGCCGGGATCGTTCCGCTAAACCAGTTTAGCCCGAGGTGCAAAACCTCGATGCTTGCAAAGTCGCCATCTTCCAGCTCCAGTGGCCCGGAGAGAGAGTTGTATGCAGCGCGTAAATCCGAGAGCTTGCGTAGCCTTCTCAAGCTCGGTGGCAAACCACCCTGGAGCGAATTGTTGGTGATACGCATGTACCTGAGCTCCAAGTTCTTGCTCCAAATATCGGGTAGATCTCCTGTAAACCTGTTATACGATATGTCCAGGCGCGTCAAGTTCGTCATCTCCCCGAAAGTTTCTGGAATGGAGCCGCTGAGGCCGTTCTGCGAGAGTTCCAGTGCCTCCAGTCCCAGGTTACCACCAATGGAAAAGCTCCCAGTTAAGTTGTTGATGGACAGGTCGAGCGATCACAGCGTCAAGCTAAACTTTGGGAGTCTGGCCACTGTTAAGAAGTTCCCACTGAGGTCCAGGCTTTCCAAACTCTCGAGGCTCGGGGAACTCTTGCAGGGAATTGGAGCTCAAGTTGAGGAGGTTGAGCTGCGTATTTTTGCAAGGGACTTCCAGCGAGGAGAGGCCGTTTTGCGAGAGGTCCAGGCGAGCCAGCGATGGAAGCTCGGCCCAGGTGGCAGGAAAAACTCCCGAGAGATTAAACCTGGACAGAGCGAGGCCCTCCACTTGGTTGTCCGAGCTCCACTCCACTCCCCGCCATGCTCTTGGATTGGCAGTCTCGTTCCACACTTTGATGCCAAGCCTGTCACGGAGAGAGAGAAGAACCTGTGTGTCGTTCACGATTGCGGATGGATTTGTGGGGCACTGTGACCGGGATCTTGTGAGAAAGACGAGTAGAAACAAAGGCAACAGCAAATCCGCGAGAGACATGGCCATGGATCAGAACATCAAAGAGTGAACGTGCGAGATGACGTTCTTCTTTTTGCAGAGTTTACACGCACATTTGATAATCAATTCTTGGCACACTTGACTTCGAGTCAATTGAGCTAGTCAATAAAGTGGGGGACTTGGGATTTACCATTGTAAAATACTTTATTGACTTTATTGACTAGCAAAGGGCCTTGATGAAAGCCTTGCTAGTCAATAAAGTGGGGGACTTGGGATTTGCCATTGGTATACTGATCAACTATATTACATAACATAGATTTTTGCACAATTTTTTTTTGTGGTGATTTTTTGGCCACGGTGGATGGAATGTGGAGACTTAGACTTGACTTCTGCCAGTCCGTAAAAGCATTATAATGATATGTTTTTCCAACGAAATTTTTGTGTTTGTTGGAAATTTAAGTTGTAATCAACTCAACTTAAATGTTAGTATCAAATTGGCTTTAGTTACAAATTTTAAGTTGTAATTTGTGATAGCTTTATAGTTACTCAAATTTAAGTTGGAAATTATAGTTGTCCTTTACAACTAAAATATAAATCATAATTTGTAGTAACATATTCTTTAAAGCGAGATAAGCTCATATATGTTGCTAATTAGAGTTGCAATTTACAACTTTTAAACTGTGACTAAAATGTAAGTTCTTAAGGTTTGTAGTTCCAAAAGTTTTAGTCATAAATTTCAACAATATTTACACCAACTAAATTACTAATAGCAGTATAATGTACCCACTTTTAACACATAATTTCCTAATAAAAGAACTTTGTTTTTTTCCTCAGATCTGTATTAAGCTTTTTGTTTAGGATTTAGGAATGAGAGTTGCATGTTGTGGAAGTAATTATATTTACCTTATACAAATTATCATAAATCATATTTGTCTTTATGGTAAACATCCTTTAGCATCACATGATGCATGGTTTTCAATGGAAAATATTCAAGGGATTAGATTATGCAGATCTACTACTTTAGTATAACAATTTTTTGAAATTGATAAAAGCTTTATAGTTCCAAATGATTGTTATATTAATTTGAGTGGTGATAATGGTAGTGGCAATGATGATATTGAGGATAATAATGTATTTAATTATTTCTAAAATTGCTTACATGGAAATGAAGACAATTTATTACCTATTTATAAAGGGGCAAGTGCTTCTATTTTGTTGGCTTGTTTAATATTTCTAGATGTCCAAGTTAATATTGGAATATCAAGCCAAGCAACGGATCATTTTTTAAAGTAATTAATTTTTATTTATTATTTAGTATTAAATTTTTCATTATTTGGATGAAAACTCTTCAAAAAAATGTTGCTTACAAATAAAGTTTTTCAAATAATTATAAATAATGGTAAATATCACTAAACATAATGGACTTACATATAAAAAGATTGATTTATGCATCAATGATTTTATGTTGTTTCATAAGGAGAATAAGGACCTTCAATTTTGTCAAATTTCTATTGCTAACAAGCACAAAGATTTTAACAATTATATACCTGAGAAAATAATGCACTATTTCTCTATTATACCTTAATTTCAATAATAATTTCAATGTAGAGAAATAACACAATATATAACTTATCATTTGATCATCAATCCATACATTTTACTATAGCTGTAGATGATCTTTCTCAAACAAAATTAATGGCAAAAATATATTCATGTTAGGCAATTGTTGCAATTAATAATAATATACCACCAACTCTAGCAATTAAGCCTTCATTTATATTCCTTATTATGATTATACCAAGTATTAGTTTAAAAAATAAAATTACATATTTATATTTATAATATTTCTAGGCCCAAAACTTCCAAAGGTACCTAATATTTATTGGTCATTATTTTTGGAAGAGTTAAAACAATTATGGGATTAACTGCCATGGAAAGATAATTTTAATCTAAAAGGTTTTTTAAGTTTAGAGAAGCAATGTGATAGTTTATTCATGATTTTCCTGAATTATAAATTTTTTCAGGACTTCAAACTAATGGGAAAATACTTTCACCTAGACTATGGATCTGCAATCTTGGAATATAGTCACGAAGTTTATAAAAATTTATATATATTAGTCATTGGTGTTTTTTACCTATGGATCATCCATTTATGTCTACTAATAGAACGTAAGATTTTAGTTATTATTTATAAAACATAAATTAATTTTTAATTTTAATTAGTTTATTTAATGGTCATAATTATATTTGACTAGTACTAGGACAGATGACTCCATAACAATAAGAAATATATTATTATTTGGTTAGACAAGAAGATCAAATATCATTACCCAATAATATAGTCACATTTTATCAACTTTCATATTTTTATAAGTTGCCGGTAGCATTTTTAAAGGATTATATGTATATATTTAAAAATATTTTTGAAACTATATATAAAACTATTACTGATAAAAATGATGAAATAAGTACTAAAAAAGACTTAGTTGTGTGCAGAATAAAGTAAAATATATGGCTGTGATGTGATGGAAAAATTGATCATGGAACTTGGACATTAACAAGTTATCAAAATAAATTATTTATTGATAATATAAAAACTTTTAAAGTGCTTACAACAATAAATTGAATAGATTTACAACAATGATTAGGATATTAGGATTAAAAGTTAATTTAAAATTTCTGAAAATAATTTATAATTTAATTTTCCAGAGAGATATAGCAACCAAAATGAAGAACACTTTAAATAAAACAAGAAATATTGTAAATATAGTCTAATCTAAAATAAAAATAAACAAGAGTTCTTTCAAGTAAGAAGTTTTTTTTAAAATGAATATTTAATTAATTAATTATAAAATATATTTAATATTATATGGTAAATATTTTTTTTAAAAAAATAACTTTATTATTTAAAGAGTTAACTTATGCAAATCCTATTATAGAGATTTCAATTTTCAAATTTCAACTTTCAAAAATATTTCAAGCCATTGTAACAAATCATAGTTTCTTCCCATTTATATAATGAACAGTTATTAATATATTTATTTGAACCAACATCAAGGAAAAACCAAAGATTAATTAAGTAAAATGTAATATATGCATACCTTGATATAGCTGAATCGGAAAATTTTAAAATAAATTTAATTAAATGAAGTTTCTTAATAAAACATTGTATGAGGTTTATAGAAGAAATGTTTATTATTAATATTATGGGATAAAAATAACTTTATATGTATAAAAGAATAGTGTTATTTTTAATTTAATTCACTGACTAAATTAAAGATTATTTTGATTATTATATATTCTTTGTGGGTGACAAAAATGGTTGAATTAATTAAAGATTCCAATATGAAGTTGCAAATGAACAAAGTTAAACACTTTATTCACATTAAGAATGAGATTTCTATTTGAAAATTTCCTTGTTGCTTCACTAAGGAATTCTCTTTCACAGGGAGGAAAATTGACCTTTGCATAAGTGTTTAAAATGTAATTATTATTTCCATAATCTACCAATGAATCTAAGATAAATATTGTAGAAATTTCACTCTTGCAATAACTAACAATAATAACTAACAAATGCAACAGGAAAATAATTAGCCAAAGAGTTTCCATCTCCCTCTCAGATTTAGTGTAGCAAGTAAGCTATAATATATGGTTCACCTACAAATAATATTATTCTAACAAAATAATATAAGAATCTTATAATAAATATACTAACCACTGCCGCCACCAGCTTTTTCAAGAATCATCTTAAACGGCCAGCTGAGAATGCAGCCAATCAATACCCTAACCTGGCTTCTACATCTAAAGCAAGCACACAGGTATAGAAATCTTGTAAATGTTATTGGGGACAGGATGCTTCTAATGGAAATTCCTCCTGTGATGGAAAGTTGCCGTCAGGAAAGGAGAAGCTTACTCCTCTGTAGCAGCAGATTGTGGAGCTCAGGAAAAAATTTCTGAACACTCTTCTCATTGTTGAGGTGGGATACAAAGTTTCAATTTTTTGGAGAGGATGTGGCAGAATGTTGGAACGCTGGCAGTGAGAAAGCTGTGGCTATGATAAGCAAATTCTAAGAAAATTGGCTGCTTTCTCATTCCGGTTGCATGTATGGGAAGGCTTGTGGAAGTTGGCTACAAAGTTGGCCTACCAAGACACAAGGCTGGCCCATTCTCCAGAGATTTCTTGGGCTCTATATACCAGGCTAAGGAGCTTCTGGGAGGAGAGGGTGGTGAAAGAGATGGACCAATTTGTCTGCTAGATTTGGGGTTATCCATAATATTGTTGGGCCAGGCAAGAATCTTAGGGTTTATAAGTTTTTGAATGGGAAAGAGAAAGAAGGACGAGGGCGCTGCCGCCGCCAAGGGCCAGGCGATCATCCCCAGCTTCTTCAAGCGAGGTGAGACCGATGCATCGCGGGCTCCCACACTTGTGTGGCCATCGCCGCATCATCTCAGGCGATCAGCCGAGAATGCGGCCAGCGCGAGTAAGAAACGGTGCTTGAATTTAGATGTAGACGCCGGGTCGGGCGATGGGAAGGATGCCGATTGTGGAGTATCGGGGGAAGCGATTAAAGACAGGCGTAGAAAGTTTGTAGATGTTCTTCTTGGAGAGGGGGACAGGGATGGCGGTGGTGGAAATTCCTCCTTTTATGGAAAGCCGCCGTCAGGGAAGGAGAAGCTTACTCCTCTGGAGCAGCAGATTGTGGAGCTCAAGAAGAAATTCCCAGACATCCTTCTCATGGTCGAGGTGGGATACAAGTTTCGATTTTTCGGAGAGGATGCGGAGAAAGCAGCCAATGTTTTGGGAATCGTTGCTTACTACAGCCACAACTTTCTCACTGCCAGCGTTCCAACGTTCCGGCTGCACGTACATGTGAGAAGGCTTGTGGAAGCTGGCTACAAAGTTGGCGTTGTCAAGCAGACCGAGACAGCGGCTATCAAAGCTCACGGGACGAACAAGGCTGGCCCGTTCTCGAGAGATCTCTCGGCGCTATATACCAAGGCCACGCTCGAGGCGGGCGAGTTTCTTGGGGGAGAAGAGAGCGGGGAAA